ATTCAGAGCGAAGAAATTATGCGAACCAAACGCGCTGAATCGGTCCGATTCAACGTTCAGATCTTAATGATTCAATTAAGAGGTAAACAAACAACCCCTAACATACAAATATTCATCATCACCTTAGGTATGATATAAACACTAAAAACTAATATATAAGTACCCATGTAAGGTGTAAAAAGAACTTTTTCTCTCTTGGACTTTTTATCTCAACGACTATTTATCGTCATCTTCAGACTTTCTACTCTCTATTTCCCTTATACCAAACAACTCTTTATTCAAATCAAATATAATAAATAAATAAAAAAGTCACTAAAACTTTCTCCATCAACAATTATATAATTTTTCACCTAAAACTGTATTTTTTAAACTAAATAATTTAAAAAATCTTTTTCAAAACACGTTTCTATTATATTTTTCAAATATAACGTTAAACTAAACCTAAAAATAATTCATAAGTGCTTATGAAAATGAATTCGCCAAACCCTACTATGAACCCAATTTAATTATTTAAAACTTTTAAGAACTTGATTTCAACTTTAACCCACTAATTAGACATTTATTAATTGGTTTAATTAACCCTACATCCACTAGGCAAATTGCAAAACATTTTATAAATAAGCAAGTATTTTTTGAACTAGTTATATTATAAAGATACAAAATCATAAGAAATAAAATATTTAAAATAGGTACAAACTAAGCGACCTCAATGATTAAGAAATTTGTTGTTATCCATTGAGGTTCATGGTTCGAGCACTGTGCATGCTAGGGGTATGATCCTTCATTATCAAAGAATTGAGAGTCTTTATGCAAATATTATCTTGTATTCGCTCCATATTTATAGAGAATAAAAGAGATATATTGACTCTTGTTTTGAATCTCGTAGTGCATAAATTCTTTTTAAATTTATTTTTATTTCAAGTTTTATCGTGTGTAAATTTAATTTCTATAAATATTTCAAACACTCATATTATGTTTCATCGAAGGAGAATAAATTGTCACGTATCATTGGAATCACTCGATGAGTTTTTACGTGGATTTTGTTTATTTTTTATTATAATGTTTGATTCCGTATAAGTAAAAATAATAAAAATAATTTTCTTATAATTGCAAAGCCCATATTAAATAATAATAATACCTCTGGTATATTAAGAATAAATTCAAAATATATGTGTGTGAGACAGAAATGAGAATATTATTTTTGGCATATTAATTTTGAAGAGTTGAATTTGACGTTGATAAAAGTTATGTATGACTTAAAAAAGTCAGAAGTTAGGATCACTTTAATTTCTTGCATCCAATAATTCAAAAGAAAATATTAATTTGCAAATAATTTTGGACCAGAAGAAATAATTTTGAAAATATGGTTTGAATAATTCAAAGGAACTTTCTTTTAATTTTTAGTGCTTTATTTTCAACTATTTGAATTTAATAATTTTGATTAAGTTTTTGAGGGTTTAGGGTTTAAGGTTTAGGGTTTAGAATAATCCTAATTTTATGTAGAGGGAGGAAAATGGAAGACTCTAAGAAAAGAATATGAGTGTTTCTGGTGGATATAAAACCTAGGACCAAAATTGAAATAACTTCGATGATAGTAAATTAAGATTTTATTTTATTAAATTTTAAATTTAAATAATAGTAAAGTTATATACTTACACTTATAAATGATATATTTTAATATATTCTAAAAAAATATGAACTAAAATAATAATAACCCTTTGAGATTTTAAGATTTATTGTTGACCTCAAAAACATATTCGATTTTATTTTGATTATATTATATCGTCACCAAAATAGTAATATTTAAAATTTTTCGATCATATAATATTATATTTTTTATAAAAAAGATTAAAATTTTAATCTATAAATTAATTTTAAAGAAATTATCAAATTTTAATTAAAATTAATATTTCAAAGACCAAATGAAAAAAAGTAAAGTACATAAAAATCATTAAACTATATTTAAATGTTAAATTTTTATTAAATTTTTTAAAATTATAAATATTATTAAATTTATCAAAATATTATACAAATTATTACAACATTATCATAAATATAAAATTTTGATATATCTAATGACCGCTTTTATAACAATTACATAATTTTTTTTATTTTATAATAATTTAATAAAATTTAATAATTATTTAATAATAATTTTAATAATTTTAATGTTTTAGCAAATTCGATTTATGGATTCTGATCCTCACTTGGTCATGTCATTCATATTAGCGAGAAGCAAACGCGCAGCAAGTCAAAGTCTGACCAATCGCGCCGCGGCCCTAACTCCGCGTCCCAAAATGTTGACTTTCAAACGCCACCAATTTGCACTCTATAAATCTGAACCCGCCCCGCCATTCTTCTCCTTCAAACACATTCTTCACTTCCAAAAAGAAAATCTAATTTTTTTCTCCAATATGGGGAAACATTTACTAACCATTCTTCTGACGGCAATTATTGCCGCCGGAGCAACCGCGGTGAACGCTCAAGACTGCGGTTGCGAACAAGGTCTATGTTGTAGCCGGTGGGGGTTTTGCGGAACCGGCGACGATTACTGCGGCACGGGGTGCCAACAGGGCCCTTGCAATCCACCGCCAGCTTTGAACAATGTTTCGGTGGCGGATATCGTTACGCCGCGGTTCTTTAATGGGATTTTGGATGTTGCGGAAGCTAGTTGTGAAGGGAAGAATTTTTATTCGAGATCGGCATTTCTCGAAGCTCTCCGTCCTTATCCTCAGTTCGGGAGAATCGGATCCGTCGACGATTCTAGACGGGAAATCGCGGCTTTCTTCGGCCATGTCACCCACGAGACAGGACGTAAGATTCCTCACCAAGTTTTTTGTCTCATTAATGTTTACTTTGGAGACTATGTCTTGCATGGATCAATTACATTAGTAATATAATCACAAACGGATTTATAAGTTTTACGTTATACGTGTGAATTTAGAAAGTTATTTAAAAATTTTAAGAATATAAAATTATATCGTAATAGAAAATATAATAAAAATAGTTAAATTATATGATAATTTAAAAATTTTAAGGGTGATTAGGAATGGTAATTTGATCTACATTCGACAGATTTTGACCTGATCCGATCTGATAATCATATTTTTTTAAAAAATTAGTTGGTTTTGAGTTGCGTGTTGTAAAGAGTAAGGTTAGGTCGGATTTTAAATTTAAGGTGAAAAATCTCAGACCCGACTCGAGATAATAATATAATTTTCATCTATGTATTTAGGAATAACTACTACAATATTCTTCTCTCTATGTTTTTTCAACTAGGTCTCTATTTTGTAGAATAAAATTAATATATATATATTTGTGTCGGATCAAATTAAATTTAGGTTTATATCTCGAAATTCTAATCTAATGTCAGGTCGGATGAGACTTTCTTAAGTTGAGTCGGATCAAATCAAGTTCGAATGACAAAAATATAGTTAAAATGAATTTGACCGTACCCTAATGCTATTTTTAATCCATCCTAATTATAATGAACCTGACTTGATCTCATATGAAATGATAAAAAATATTAAATTTAATTTTAAAAAATTTAAAAGTTGAACCTCATTTTTTAAAATTTCAATTTTTTTTTTGTTAATTGTCCCTCCGTTTCCTAAGATTTCATCATGATTATTTCGGAACGACTCGCGTTGCACACTTAATTTTGGTGGGTCAATCTCCTTACGAGAATTTCAATATACACAAAGACTCGAACTCGAAACGTATTTAAACGATATCAAGCTGCTTATAACTTGAATAATAACAAAATCTTCTCTGTTTTCTAATGCAGATTTTTGCTACATAGAAGAGATAAACGGAGCCACAAGGGACTACTGCGATGAAACCAACAGACAGTATCCATGCAGCCCTAACAGAGGCTACTATGGCCGAGGACCAATCCAACTATCCTGGAATTTCAACTACGGCCCAGCCGGCGACAACATCGGGTTCGACGGACTAAACTCACCGGAAACTGTCGCCACCGACCCGGTTATCTCCTTCAAGACTGCCGTGTGGTACTGGGTGAACTTTGTTCAACCGGTCACGAATCAAGGGTTCGGGGCAACTATTCGTGCCATTAATGGAGCTCTGGAGTGCGATGGTGGAAACCCCACTACCGTTCAACGGAGAATTGAGTATTATACCGATTACTGTAACCAGCTCGGTGTCGATCCTGGGTCTAATCTAACCTGTTAGATTTCAAAAAATTTAAAATATATATCACTTCTGATTATGTTGAATGAAGAAGATGTAACCATATATTGTTGAATGCCCGCTGCAGAAACTTTTGACTCGTATGTTCTCCTTTTTCAAGATTGCAGTTTTATAATACAAAAGATTTTTTTTCTTTTTTCTTTATATATACATGCATGGTCTAATCTTTATGCAATTTACGAGAAAGATTTTTTCAATTTAGTTTATTTTATTTATAATATTAAGATTTGAATTTTTTACTTTATTTAAGGGAATTAATAATCTATCTCATTACATAAGCGAAAGGTAATTGCATCACATAATTCTCAAACGGTGATCTTCATTCTAAATTAATCCATAACTTTGAAATATTTTAATTCCATCCTCAAATTCTAAATTGATTTCCAAATTATGACTCTCATTCTAAATTGATCCCTAAACTTTTGAATATTCCAATAATTTTGCTCAAAATCATTCAAACATTTAGGGATGAAATTAGAATATTCAAAAGTTTAGAGATCTGAGTCATAGTTTGAGGATAAATTTAGAATGTTCAAAAGTTTAGAGATCAAGTTATAATGAGAGTTGTAATTTAGGGATGAAAATTAAAATATTTAAAAGTTTAGAGATAATTTTAAATAAAGTTTATAGTTTGAAGATGTGTAATGTAATTAACTCAATCATATTACATATAGTTGATCATTAATGGATCTTTTAATGTCTTAGGCAAAATTTACTAAAACTCAGGTGAGTATAAGGAAATGAATAAACTTACAATTGTACTCTATAAAATCTCAAATCGTCCCCGTCATTCTTCTACATCAAACACATTGTTCAGTTCCAAAAAGAAAAAGAATCTCAATATTCTTTTCTCCAATATGAGGAAACATTTACCAACCATTCTTCTGGCAGCAATTATTGCCGCCGGAGCAACAGCAGAGGGCGCTCAAAACTGCTGTTGCGAATAGCTGGTGGGAGTTTTGCAGAGCCGGCAATGATTACCGCAGCACAGGATTCCAGCAGGGTCCTTGTAATCCACCGCCGACTTTGAACAATGTATCGGTGGCTGATATTGTTACGCCACAATTCTTTAAAACGATTATGGATGTTGCAGAAGCCGGTTGTGAAGGGAAGAATTTTTATTCAATATCAAGCTCTCGGTCCTTACCCTAGGTTCGGGAGAATTGGATCAGTCGATGATTCTCAGCGAGAAATTGCAGCTTTCTTCAGCCTTGTCACGCACGAAACTGGACTTAAGATCCCTCACTTTTCGCCCCATAAATGTATACTCTGGAGATTGTCTATTGCATGCATTTATATACCGGATCAATTACAGTACGAGTATAAGCAGGTTGGGTCAAGTTGAGCTCAAGAACTATATTGGCTACTGTAACCAGCTCGGTGTGGATCCCGAGCCTAATCTAACCTGCTAGATTTCATTTTAATAATACAAATGATTTGGTTTCTGTTTTATCATACATGGTCTAGGTTTTATGCACGGTTTTATACAGATGAATACAAAAAATGAAAAGTCGGAACAACATATCTCTCAGCTGGTTAAGCATGCATGTCCACAACAATTCTAGCTGGCTCATGGCTTACATATTTGTTTTTACCTACATGCATAGCGCACAAATGATTGCAGATGAAATAAATTTATAGTGGCACAAGCAAACTAGCAACATAAATCACTGTCTAAATATAGGCATGCATTTAAATATAAAGTTTTCCTCAACAATTGAATCATTAAGCATGCAGAAATGCATATTATTATAGTTTAGCAATTGATTGTGATCAATGAGAAAGACTTATAAGATCAGGAAAGGTTCAGTTGATGATTGAAAAGTTAAACCCTTATAATCTCCTGAGATTTAGATTGACTCACCAAAACTCATAACCAGAATCGGATGCAAACTCGACAAGACAACAGCTCAATTCGACTTTATCTTTTTTTTATAAAAATGGAAGGCCTCGTTAAAAACCCCCCCTTTAGAGCTTTAGATTAAGCTCCTTAATCAGCGGAAGGAGGAAAAGAGTGCCTTAGAACTTTTATTGATACTGAAAAATTACATAAGATTTAACAATTACACTAAAATTCAGTACATAAAACTTAAACACTCCAACTGCCATAAAAATCTTCTCACTGGACCAAAAAACCCACAGTTGAACCTATACAGTCAACCTATCCCTTTCTTTGCTAAACTGTCTGCCTCTCCATTGACTGAAATTATCATAATTCAATGTGATCTGAGGTCAAAATGACCCAACCTGAGCTCACCGCACACCCTAAAGAAAGCACCATTGAAGAGAAGACATGGATCGTATTAAGAGACTCGAATCGACTTATTTTGTAGATAAGTACATTCTTCCAACTTGTAACAAGGAATAGAAATGGTTATTAAAAGAGCCTAAGTACAGAGGATGGATGCTGAATTTAGCTATCATGAGATTATCGTAATCATAATCATACTAAATACTACATAATCAAATTTCATATCCCAATTTCCATAGCTTTAGGGAACTTTAGAAGAAAAACCAAACTACAGAATGGTAATAGAATCATTATTCCTCTGTTTTACTATCATTTTTCTTCTTGTTGCCGTATATCAATCCATTCTCCTGTCATCCACACACAAAAGAAGTCGAGTATCAGCTTTAATTTTAATGTATCTTTGAAAAAAAAAATCGAAGGGGCATTAAATTAAACACCTGGGGATCAGGAATCGGTTTTCGTTTCTCTACGTAGCGATAAGGATCTGAAGCTGCAAGAGCTGCTCTTTCCTACAAAATCAGCGATAAATCTTTTGTTTTAAAACAAAAGAATGAGAAATTAAGTTTAATTTTGATGGAGGAGAAACCTCTTGTTGACTTTTGAGATCTTGAGAGGGTTTCACCCAAAGGAAATAAGCGAGAGTGCCGGCGACGATCCAAGAAGCTATATTGGGACCGCCTCGAAGACCCCCAATCGAATTTCCGATGAATGATCTAACGTTTCCGATTCCTCTGCTCCAACTGCTCCTCCCCATGGTGGCCAAATTTTGAAGGGTATTTTTCCTTTCCTCCTTTCTGTTTTCGATAGGTTGTTTAGAAAGTTGTGAAATAAAAAAGAGTAAATTACATATTTGGTACTCCACATATTCCCGTATTTCTGTTTTGCTAACCTAGTTATATTTTTAAATTATATTTAATATTACGTTTTGTTTTTATTTAACTTGGTTCCATACCTTTTTGGCCTGACCGCAAGACCACAAAACATGACTTCTACCTTTTGCTCATTTCTTACAGACTTAGTAACACTCATCCTACATCTTGATGTCTCCTTATAATATATGCATAACGTGCCCTCATTGTCCATCCACTTATCGTACCAAAAATCTGTGTATTCACCATTTCGAATGCTCCGACGAGTCTAACACAATCCTAGATGTTACCCTTTCGCACTACTTACATTTAGTCTTTAGTATTTTCACCCATAATTTGTTAGTATATGAAAGCGGATTTAAGGTAGAAAAAGAAAAAGTAAATTGAAATTTTATCTTTAAATTATTTTGGGTTTATAATTAGTATTTTATATAAATTTTAGTGATTAAAATAAAAAATTAACTCTTTTATTAATGTGCCACGTCATTAAACTAACGGTATTACTAAAACTTAATAAAATGATAATATAAATGACCAAAATTTAAGTTTTTAACATTTAGTAGATAAGAGCGTACAGATATAAAATGTAATTGACCATTCAAGTAGTTTACCATTAAAAAAACTGTAATTCAAAAGCATTCATTTGTAGTTTGTTTTAACTTCATAAAGTTTCTGATTTGAGATCGGAGCTCGACTTTTGATTTCATTTGTTCCTACCGTTTTCCACTTCTTCCAAGCTCGTGATTTCAGGTTTGCATCAAATAGGCAAATACCCAGCAACCCATTTTCATTTTGGTTATATAGTATATGTTTTTTTATTTATTATATGATGTTCATGCTAGAGTTATGATTTGGGTTGTCTAAATTCGGATTCATATTTGGATCTCTCAACGTTCTGAATCTTGGGTTTCCCATACAACAACGAAGTCTTCTCATAGGAGACTGAAATGCTAAGAATTATACTTGATTGATCGGAAATATGGAGAGATACCGAGTCAAGAATCACAATTTGGTGTCAGCCTAGATTTGTTTATTTGATTGCAATTAAAGAATGTAGCTAGAAATTGTAAATTCTTTTGCAAAGACAAATTCTTGGTATACCAATTGTAGTTTAGTTGGCATGTAATCAGCTACGAATGCATGATTTTACGTAGAGATTCGAATTTAGGAAGTTATAATAGAAATTATTTGTTTGGTGTTAACTTGGTTGGGATTGTGTTGAATTTTTGTCTTAACACCCGAAAGCTTAGAGATTTTTATGTGGATCAAAGGGGTTCTTATGTTCTATTAGTTGAACTTTTCATTCAAGTTGCAGCTTGTTTATTTCAAAAGCATGATTATGATGCACTGTTTGAACTTTAAACTTTATGTTACTCGGACTCAGGTTTTAGTCTTGAATATGGATATATGTCTGACATAGGTATGTTTAACATTTTCTATTTTTTTTCCATGTATATGAAGGTTCGTACCCTCATGTCTAGATATGTGTCGAACAGGGACACCTTTAAGGAAAAATGAAGGGTCGGTGAAATGTAGAAACTAGACATCTTCCTTTTGAGCTTATACGTACATGCATTGTTACTATTTTCTCTCTTCCTTTCTACATATATGGTTAGCTTTTATATATAAGGTGTGCTTTATGCGTTCTACATACCATATGGCATATGATTTTCTCTCTTTTGATGTCAGAATTCCATCAACTAGAGTTGATCTTGTTGTGGCACAAGGATGACAACTACAACTTGTTTTAACATCGTGAGCCGAAATGGCATTCCAATATATGAAGCTGAAGTGGGTTCTATTGCTAAAGTATGATGTTCCTTCACTTCCTTTTTAGATATGTTTTTCCTTTTATCGGATTTCTTATCTATACCTCATTTTTCTTTCACCTGTTGATTATCTAATAGTGATACTTTTGTTACGCCGATGATAGAAATGAAGCTCATCGGCTGAAGAAAGAATGATCAAAATTAATTATGCATCAGATTTGCTTAGTACTATTAGAACTTTAAATTGATAAAAACTGTTTAGTTCAACTAGGAAATATATCTTTAGATCATCATGTTGTTTTTTGTTATTAGCAATTTTTCTATATTTTGTATTTGGTTTATTTTTCTTCCTTTTTTGTATATGATCAGGTGTCGTTGGATTTCATAAGATTAAAATGTTTCTAACTTATTCCACACATGTTATGTTTATTTTAATGTCTTTTTGGACCTGTGTCAGAAGCTGTCGTTATTTGTTCCCCTCTGACTTTTAATTTCTTAAAGTTCTCGTATCTCATACCCGTATCAGACTTGGATACGTAGGTATGACCCATTGAAGAACCCTCTAAATAAATACATGAAAAAACTTAGAAAGAATTGAACATACTCGTCAGACACCTACCGATTTCTGATACTCACACCAGAGGTCAAGTAACATTGGTTGTTTCTATCTTTCTAACTAAATTGCTTGTCAGACACATACTGATATCTCACACTCACACCCGAATTCAAGTAACATTGGTTGTTTCTTTCTTTCTGACTGAATTGTTCAATGTAGAGAGATGATGCTGCTCAGCTGCAACAATTCGTATTACATGCAGCTCTGGATATTGTTCAAGATCTTGCATGGACCACTAGTGCAATGTAAGTTCTATTTTTTATGATATTTCCGTTTTAGCATATTCCAGAGAACTCTGAAAAGTATCGCTATAATTCTTTCATCTTACCAGCTCATTTCTGTTGCAGGTTCTTGAAATCGATTGACGAATTCAATGATTTGGTGGTATCGGTTTATGTTACTGCTGATCATATCCTTTATAAGTACTGCATTGACTTACATATTCATAACTCGATAGCTTTCATTTCATTTCCCTCATGTTTATATTTCGGTATCGCTGTTCCTAGTCTCGATTTTAGTATGTTTCCTTCACTTTATCATACATACACGACTTATGCTACTTCACAATGCTCGTAGTGAAGATGGAATCAAGAGCTTTTTCCAAGAGGTTCATGAGCTTTATATAAAGGTAGCCACTGTACTCTGCTTCTCTTATCAACTCGTCTTCTTGGATTCATCTGGCAGATAAATATATCGATTCCCCCCTTTTTCCTTGTGTTGGTCTTTTGGATCAGTCTAGGCTTTATGAACATCCTCATGCATGAGCTTTATTACACGTGCTGTTTTATGAACTAGATTAGTCACCGAGAATTGTGGCCGACATATATTTGAAAATGCATATATAAAGCAATCTATCCAAGGTTGGATGATGTTTTGATTATCTTAAATTTGGTAATTGCAGAGCCTTCTTAATCCACTCTACTTGCCCGGTTCCCGCATTACTTCATCGCATTTCGATACAAAAGTCCGTGCTCTTGCAAGAAAATATCTCTAGGTTTGCATTTTTCTGTTGAGGAATTTGAAACTGAGCTTTTGCAAAATGCATTTGTGTTCTTTTTTTATGTTACCGAGTCGGAGATCGATTCCGGTTTTTAACACTACCAAAAGACAACATGGCTATAGGCATAACGCATAGTATTAAGATGTTTATACTTATTTGTTAATAATTTTTGTTAGTCTTTAAGACATTCGTATATGCATACGGCATACGCATACTCGTTTGATATATATATGTTATATTTTAGTTATTTTCCACGTAGATTTTGGTGCAGTGTGAAATCTACTCATGTGTGATACTGTGGATAACAGACTGAAGGAACATGGAAAAGGTGAAAATGGTAAGCTTTTCAACGTCTAAAAGGGTATCCAATGAAGAATAATTACTATTATAAATCAATGCATGGGCTGAAAAGATCTATATTTTTTGGCTTATTGTACAAATCAGTACCTTGAGTTAGTAATTTTTCTCAAATCGGCACAAACTTTTTAGATCAAATTGATACCTAAACTTGAAAGAAGAAGAAGAAGAAGAAGAAGAAGAAATGGTTTAAATAGACGAAAGGTTTTTGTACTATTCTAAAATTTAAAATTTAGTTTCTATATCATTTTTTGGGTGAAATTGAGTCATTATATTGTTTTTTATTTTAAATATTGTTTTTTTGTTAATTTTATTCATTTTTTAATGGTTGATCCAATAGCTGTAAAAGTAAAATAAATTGTTTTTAGTTACAATTTTTTTTTTATCAATTTGAACCTTAAAAAAGTATACATGTAGATGATTGAAAATTTGCATTGTTCAATTAATGATAATTTTTATTTATTTTTAAAAATCAAGTAAAAAATATAATACGAGGATTAAATTTTAAATTTTGAATTAGTACAAAATTTCTTGTCACATTTGAATACAAACATCTTAAATTGATACATGTGTGAATATAATATGAAGGCAACATTGATGGATCAAAATGCTGATTTCATTAGGGTTATGTATCATAAATCAAATAGTTATTAAAATGTCACATTAGCATTGAATGTTTATTTGAGATTTTAGGTTAAAAGTATTAATTTAATTTTTTTAAATTTTAAATGTTAAATTAATAAATTAAATTTTTTTAAAAATTGTCAATTTCAGATGTGATTTATAAAATAAGTGTATTAATATTGGGTTTGGACTGAAAAAAAACTAAATTTAATTAAATGAATTTTAAATTAATTATTTTATTGATTAACTAAATTAAATTTAGATATCTTAATATTAAATTAAATATTTTACATGTTGAATTCAAGTTTTCATGTTATAATCAATTGAGTTTGAATTTTAAAATCAAATGTAAGAATTTAATTTATTTTTAATTAGATAATTAAAAATAATTATTTTTATTAAATTAAATATAAATTATAAAATTAATTTTCAATTGAATTTGAATTTTGATTATTATATATATTTTTTATGATTAGAGATGAATAAAAATCAATTTTTGAATAATATATTCATAATATTTAGTTTGTTCAAGTCGGGTAAAAGCAAACCCGAATCCGAAACAGAAGATTGAAAACGAAGAGAAGAGGTAAAGTTAACCAGTCGGTCCGGTCCCCACTCAGCAGCAGCGACCCCATTTCTGACTCGCTCGCTGACTCACTCACTCAGTAAAAGAAACCCTTTCCCCAAATATACTAAATAGAAATAATACTATAGAAAAATAAAGGTGGCAAACAGAAAACTCTCGTTTTGAGTATTTTCTTATTGTTTATTCCCCAGAATTATAAAAGAAAATAATAATACTAATGAAATTCGGTCTTTTTCACCCACCTATTTGACCCTCCTTTTGATTCGATAACTTTTTTCCTCTCAATTTTCACCAGAATATGTTACGTCTTCCACATCATCAGGTAACTTTTTTATTTTCTTTTGATTTGAGTGTTTGGTAGCTAAGAAAATGCTGGAAAAAGAAGGAAATTTTGGTGAGTGTGGGGTTTTTTTGGTTATTTTTTGGGGTTTTGAGCTAACTCAGAAGTAAGGAAATTTGGGTGAGTTTTGTCCCCCCCCCCCAAATTTTTTTTGAAGTGTTTTGAGCTAACTCTTTTTTTATTCCCATTTTTTGGGGAGTTTGTTTTTTGATATTGTTTTCGGGGAAATTTGTTGTTTTTCTAAGATTGATATGAGTAAATGGTTTGATTCTGTTGTTTATGCTTAACATATAGCTTACTCTTTTGTTTGCTAATCTAGGAAATTGTACGAGGAAAGAAGGGAAAATGGGTATTTCCCCCTTAGATTTAGTCTCATTTACAAAATCCTGTTAAAAAAATGGAAAAAGAAGTTGAGGTTTAGATGATCACAACATAGGTTAAACTATTGCTATCCATTTTCCTTAGATTTGCGTATCTTTGTGTTAGCTGATGTGATGGAAGAAATGAAATATTGCTTGATTAGTTGCTTGATTGAATTGATCTAGAGCTTGTGTTAAGATATGTCTAATACGAGGTCTGTCGTCTGAGAAAAAAAGAACTTGATGGTGATTTACTTCAGTTTTGGGGCTATTTTGAGTGGGGTTCTTTATTTAAGTGTTGTAGCTAAAACTTTGCTGAATGGCTTGATTGTCGATCCTGGACTTTTAAGTGTCCTTGCTCTAGTTACAGGCTTTAGAGGGAATGTTTATTACGTGGGTTAAATTATAGTAATAGTTTAGTCTTTTAAGCTTGCTCAACCTTACTTATGTTTTTATGGTGCATAAAGAGTTGGAGGTAAAATGATGCTCATTAAGTCAATATTTTTGTAACCTGGGTAATGCACGGAATGATGAGAGGAACTAGCTGTTTTTCTCACAATCACACCAAGCCTAAACTGGACAGGCCTAATCTATGATAAAATAAAAATTTAGACTTGAAACTTGTTGGTAGAGTGACAATACCGTGTGATGCAGCTGTTTTTTATAATTAAAAAAGGCTATGGATATGAAATTTTTTCAACAATGTTTAAGTATGCTTTGTTTAATTGCTATTCTCCTGCACAATTTGATGAATGTGGTGCTAATTTTGTTTCAAGGATAAAGAGTTACATTTTGTTTTACATTATTTCTTATTGGGCATTAATTTTTCTTTCCCAAACTTGCTCTAACACTTGAAGCCTATATAGGCTTTACTGCATCACTGCAATTGTTGTTAAGGAGCTACAAGAGGGATTTCAGTTGCATGATTCAATGGTGGCAAAAGGCTAGAAGAGCTATGAACTGCTTTCAGAGTGTTAGCTGTGTTAAAGGTAAGTTGTTTGAATTGACTAATTGGATCTGCTTAATTTTTAGCTTTAGACATGGCGTTGTGCTGTTAAAAAAGTGGCAGAGGTCGCCATAAGTTTGATGTTATAAAGGTTTCGAATTGGCTTTTTCTTTATTTTAAGACATGCTGGCTTTGATTTGCGGGTGATAATGTTTTATGATTTAGAGTCAATATTTCTATGCATATTAGGCAAGTTCTTTATTGTTAATTTGGACCCTGTATTTTTAAATTTGCTTGGGATGATAAATTTTTTTACTTGAACTTCACACTTATAGGGAATCTTAGGTGAGCCACTACGTAGAAAAAAATTGTTATTATATGACATCATTTTCCTCAGTTAATGGTTAGCCATCGTTATATTTGATTAGAGTTTTGGCATAGATATCTTAGTTTTGTTCTTTGTGTTTACCTTACTGGTAAAAACATACGTGGTGCTTTAAATTTAAACTTTATCCTTCATTCTAGATATTACTATTTTTTAAAATATTTACACTTACGACAGAATATGGCTTGCGTCTGGGTGCAGGTTCCCTATGCCAACAGTTATTTTTCATTTTCTGGTTATCGAGTTTACAAGATGCTGCCACATTGCAGATTTTACATGACCCTAGTCATGTTTCTTCCACATCTGAGCTAGCTAATCCACCGAGTACTGCATTATTTGAACCTATAGAAATAACCCCTGCTGTCATTCCTAGATACCCTTATCCCAACGAATCTTTACCACCCATGTATCCAAGTTTCCCCTCAACATATGAACCAAATTTAACAGGAAGGTGCCCTGTAAATTTTTCTTCTATGTCGAATATCATGGGGAAAACAGCATCTGATTGTTCTCTACCTTTGGCAGCACTTGTAGGAAATGTCATATGTTGTCCACAGCTTGGTAGTTTACTCCACATCTTCCAGGGTTACTACAGTGTTGACTCTGATCAGTTGGTCTTGCGAAATGCTGTTGCTAATGATTGTTTTTCAGATATCATTAGTATCTTAGCTAGCAGAGGCGCCAACAGTACAATACCCACAGTATGTTCTGTAAAATCATCAAACCTCACAGGTGGTTCTTGTCCGGTGAAGGATATTAACATCTTCGAGAAAACGGTGAATACGAGCAAGCTATTGGAGGCTTGCAGCACTGTTGATCCTTTAAAAGAGTGCTGCAGGCCAGTTTGCCAACCTGCAATTATGGAAGCTGCTTTACAGATTTCTGGAACACAAATGATGCTCAATGATAATAAAAATATTGTTGGGGAGACTAATCATGTCGATGCCATCGATGACTGTAAAGGGGTAGTACATTCATATCTTTCAAGGAAACTCTCGCTAGATGTGGCCAACACTGCTTTCAGAATACTATCTGCTTGCAAAGTCAACAAGGGTACAGATTCTATATATCTTTCATGATTGTTTTCAGTATTTTATACATAGTTTCTGGCTGTTTACATGTTACCCAAGTCTCTGCTGCGAACTCGCTTGGGTGTGTATCTTACCTTGGGATGGTTCAAGTTGAGATGATCTTGCATATGCATGGTGCCATCATTTGGTGAAAGAATGTAAATGGAGGCGATGGGTAGTCTGAATGGATGGTAGATTATGATATGCTGCTTTGGCTCATCATTTTTCTTAAATTACATGAGCATATGAGATTATGGCCTCCAAATACATAGAAAAAAAGTTAAAAATATCTGTGTCAGACACGTAACTGTTTATGTCATGCACGCCCAAGTACAAGTAATGTAGGATTTTTGTTTAAATTATTTGTTTCTTACATGTTTTATCATTTTCTTCTTTGATGCTGGTTCATTTCTTCTCCATGTATTTTGTTTCTACCAAATAATTTTAATATTGGGTAGAAATAATAAACATGAAAGATGAGGTCAAATTACAACTTCACTTTCCAATATTAGACCGTGGCTGTCTTGGCCAAGACATATGTAGATTTTAATATGTTCATTTAAGCTTCTCGGACTTCCATAACAGGATAAGGTCAAGTAAACGCATAGTTTTTTAATGAGCTTGAGCTTCATTGATCATTATCTCTATCTTTTTAATTCCCATTTTCAGTTCACATGGTTGCTTTCCATTTGTATTGCAAGATATCATATAATTTGTTTCAAATACGTTTTGAGTTTTATGTGTTGTCTAAAATGGGATAATTTTTTTAATATGCAGTCTGCCCTTTGGAATTGAACCAGCCGTCTGAAGTAATTAAGGAATGTCGTAATGTAGCTGCTCCAATTCCTTCCTGTTGTAGCTCATTGAATACATACATCGCAAGGATACAGAAGCAAATGTTAATTACAAACAAGCAAGCCATTGTTTGTGCAACAATGTTCGGGTCTATACTAAGAAAAGGTGGAGTTCTCACAAATGTTTATGAGCTTTGTGATGTCGACTTAAAAGATTTTAGTATCCAAGGTATTGTGTTCTGTTTGATGCTGTTCTTCTAAAACATTGCCCATTTTCCTCTGACGTTTTATCTGATATTGAGGTTTTCTTCTTTTCTTTCTGCCTGTTGAATTCTTATGGGCGGTCCTTATGACAGCTTATGGACAACAAGGTTCGTCATGTTTCCTGTTCACTTTCTACCCCTCCCACATTTGCACAATCATCGGTTAAAAATGTAAATGGTGTATGTATTATTGTGTGCGTTTTATGTATGCCGGTCTATGTATGTGGTATATGGACAAGGTTCAATGTGTGTATGCGTATTGGTTAAGTCGTTTGATGTGTTATGCATATCGGTTAAGTCATCAATGGACCACTTTTTATGTGCTTAAATTTGTACTCGAGGATCTTGTTCGTACTGTTGTCGGATGCATACTCCTATCCAACATGCATTCAAGTCCGAGTGACATAGGTCTTAATTAGTTAGATGATTATGCACTAAAACTTGAAAGAAATTAAAATGTACCATAGAGACTGAAAATTTTGGTATTTTCTACATATCTAGGATGCCTACTACGAAGCTTGCCAGCAGATGTGGTATTTGACAATTCGACTGGCTACAGCTTTACATGTGACTTGACTGACAACATCGGTGCTCCGTGGCCTTCATCATCGTCGATGTCATCCTTGTCTCTTTGTGCTCCAGGTAATTGTTTGCAGAAAAAAAGAGCTTTCATATGTTTGATTCTCTTAGAAGGGAATTGAAGTGTGGATTCAATAGAGGAGTTGTGCTTCATCTTATATTCTAATGGCTGTTGCCTGCTGCAGAAATGTCGTTGCCTGCCTTACCAACATCCGAGACGCTGAAAAATCCCGGTGAGTAACATGTCTTATTTGTATCTCCTATATTTGGTTAACTACGAAGTATACATACCTAACACCTGTATCCAATACGTATTCGGGTATGGGTATGGATAGATGACTCTCTAGAGGCTCTCCAAATAAATGGCATAACTTCGGGAAAAAAATTAAGCATACACATATCCGACACTCATAAGTCTGAGTAACATATATAGGCTCGGTTTAAATAACACATATATATATATATATATATATATATATATATATATATATATATATATATATATAAAGGGAATGATAGATTTTTTTTCTTCTGAATTTCTTGAGGAATTTGATTCTGTTGATGCAGGCTGCCATGGATGCACATTGGAAATGTTGGTACCCATTTTTTCATTTTTTGTTTTCAGTACATTTTTGTGCTAAAGAGTCTGTAGTTTGCAGGTTGAGCTGTGATTTAAAAAAAGTGTAGGACCTATGTGGTGAATAATTTTACTTACATTGTATGTTTTCATTAGGCCCTTCTTCAGCAGCCTTGTATAGTAATCTATTCTCTCTTCATTTTCATTGCTTCCGGTATAGTTCGGTTCTGTTTTTGGATAAAAGTTGTTATTGGTGTATAGTGTTTTTGATTTTTTTCATTCGAGAACTAAAACTGAATAGAATTCTCTAACTGGATTGCTTGGAATTGAGTTTCTCCAGTTTATAAAATTCTATTTTATTGATAACGGTCTGTTCGGTTGGGTTTTATTTTTCCTTTTTCTAACCAAGCTTTCCCTTGGGGGAGGGAAAAGAAAGAAAAATCAAGGGGAAAAGATGCTTTTGTAAAGTGAAGTGTAAAAAGAAAGGTACTTTCCCAAAGGAAATTATATATAGAAGGCCTATCGTTTTCATGTAAATCTGTCTATTCATGGGTCGGGTTAAGTTATATGGATTAAACCGGCTTAGCTTAACTATATATAATCAAATCAAGTATGACTACATTATGTATCTATACTTGAATTATAATAAATTTACACAGAATTAGTGGAATTTGAATGTGTCACACTTTTTGTCAATCTACTAAAATCATCAGGTGTATGACGCGTATATGTATTTACTTTTAGGGTATAATATTTTCTCTCATTACGGAGTTATTATTTGTAAATTTATATAGTCAAAGAGTCGCTTTGATGTCATTTATTACGGTATTATTATTTTCTTCCAAAGAGATATACATAATAAAAGTTTTTAAGTTTATAATTTCTCATTTTCTTTTTAATGCGAGGTTAATGTCCCCGTCTCTCTAAAGTGATATTTGTAAAATATAAATTTTTATTGATAATATATTAAATACTATTTTTATTAGAAAAAGAAAGAAATGAATTATCCAAAATTGGAATTGAAAATTCATATCAGTCGAAATTAAAATATGTTTTTATTAATATAATATGATCGAAAATAATCGGTTTAATAATTATTAATTTAATAAAAGAATTATTTATTTTATTATTTTCAAAAGGGCAAAACAGTCATTTGAACAGAGTTTATGTGAGTTCCTAGGGTCGGCTAATATAGAAACATCAAAAGCTAGCACGTGAACTATGTAACTTCAAATCAGAAAGCAACCTTTTGATTTCATGTCTCACAATTCAAATTCGGTTATGATTTGATTTCTCCTCTGTTCCTTCACTTTTACCATACCAGAATCTCTATTTGTCTCTGTCTAGAATCCTTTTCTCTCTCAAAATTTTGGTTTTTCTCTCTTTTTGGTGCTGATTCAATTTCAAGTTAGAACAACTCCCTTCAATCTAATATTCCCATATTTGAATTCTGATTTTGCTTTCGTAACCTTTGATAGCTCATTCCCTTTGTGTTTTTTAATCTGGGTGTTGTTGTTTGTTTTTATGGCGGGAACGCTTCAGCTGATGGGTAGTAACCGATTCTCTTATCTCTGATATTTGTCACAAGTCTGGGGTTTATTTTTTATTTTTTGATTCCCATTCTAATTTATGTAAAACCTAAAAAAGTGAACGGGGTTGAAAATCGGAGATTCCTTTTTGAAGCTAAATTTGATGGCGAACCCACCGGGGAACCATCAACAAGAAGCGAATCACCCGTCGCCTTCTTTCAATGGAGCACACTTGAACAACGGGAATCCTGCACCCGACACTTTGGGTTCGGGTTTGAAGCATAACCCTGGTATTTCGATGGATTGGACATTAGAAGAGCAAGCTATACTCGAAGACGGTTTAAAAACGTGAGTCCTCTTTTTGTCTTTTGTTTTTCTTCTTTTAGTTTCGTAGAATTTTGGAGTTTTGGTGGAATTCTCTTTTGTAAAACTTTGAAGTCTTTAATGTAGATTTTGAATTTTTAAATACTAGAAATGTGAATTTAGTTGTTGGGTTCTTGTTTGAATTGTTGTTTCTTAGAATTGATTGCAAATGATAAATAAGCCAATAGTCTGTCAATATTACAATGCTTAAGTTTTATAAAGGCCAGAGAAAACTTAGTAGCCGATAGGCATGGGAGCAACGTATTTATATCCATCACTGTTCCTTCACAGAATGCCATTTCCATTGATGTTTTATCTATTCCCAACTTGTTTATCATAGTTGCAATCTGAGTATTCAAATGGCTGTAAGCTAAGTTACTCGACTCGAGTTTAAGTGTCCTTATCTGACATAGTTATGGTTAGACTTTTTATATGTTTCTCATGTATTCTTAGGACCCTTGGAGGTCATATCCCATATCTATATGTTGGACAGAAGTATCGGACTTGAGTACTTCAAGAAAAATGAAAAGCCTGACCAACACAGGTTGTAAGCGAGGTGTTTTAAATGCTGTTTAGAAATCTTATGTTTGTCATTGTAGCTTTTGTGGTGCCAAGATACTGAAGGTAAAATATTGTGCTTGGAAATGGGTAGTGCTGACCTCATAGACATTATATTTCTATTAGGAGGCATTTGGATCATCTCTATTCCTTAACATTTGGGTTAACTTCTGGCTTCAATTATATTGAAACTTATTGAATCACCTGTCTTTGAAAGTTGCAACGTGGGGGTTCCATAATTGAAAGTATAACATTTTTGTGTATGTTTTGCATCTTTCTTAGTGTCTGGACATCTAATCAAGTGGCTTACATATCTAAAACATCATACTTCCTCTAACAATTTTTCTTGTATTTGGTAATCATGGTATTCGAACTTTATCTGATCTGCTCATAAGAATGTGGTTCTCTTCAACTTCCATTGTTTTCTGCATTTCTTTTCTTAATAGGACTAAATTTAGTTACAGTTAGTTAGGCCAATAGCTTTACTACACTAATTTTGACTTTTTATATATAAATACTATAAAAATCAAATTATCTCTTGTGATTTGCCATCCTTTTCAATTTTCATTCATTTTGCCTATCATGTCTCCTTTATTTTTTGCTTGCTTCTTCCATTTTGCCTTCTTTTCCTATATCGTATCCCCAATCCATTCTTTTTCAACACCCATTGTCTTCTTTGCAACACCCTTCCCAGTTCCCACAACCCACCTTGTTTTTCTTCTTGGAAATTCGCATCTTTACCCTTACCATTGGTAACCTGGAGACAGGCAAAAGTTTTTGATATTGGATCTTAAAGTTTCAAGAATGAAGTTTACTAGTTCTGCTCATGTTTAAACCCTTCATTATTTCGTTATATATTTTTGTGGATAAAACCTTTATTTAGTGTAAGCTTCCCCCCCCCCCCCCGATTAGTAGATACTGTGTGGTTTGGTGCAATATAATATGTTTTTTCTCGTCTCAAGAAATAAAGGAAACATCAGGTGACTTTATCTTGTTAAGTAATCTAAAAGTTTGGCACACTATATGTAGTGGATGATACACATGCTCTAATTGGTATCATTGTCTTATTTCTAGTTTTCCTCCTGTATCGTGCTTAATTCAGAGGTAACTGAGAGTTACCTCCCTAGCTGGTAGGCTTGTGAGGTAGAAGATTATGTATCATATCTGAATGAATTATGACAGGTTAGTATGTACCTCTCTATGGAAAGAAAATAAACGATTTCCTTATTAAGGCTTCTTTTATTCAGTATTTTATTCCTCAGAAGACTAGATAAATGATATCATGATCTTTTATTCTCTTCAATCTGGAATTTGAGGAAAAAGAACTCGAGCCTAGATCGATGAAACAGTTTATTAAGGGAAACTCGTTCCTTCCTCTAAGCCACAATAGTGTGAGAAGTTTTCTTGACTGATTTTCCTTAATCAAACATCTAACTAGATGAGGAAAAAAAATAGATTTGTCTAAAACAAAAAGAAAAGAAGCTGAAAGATCATCTATAGAAATGTTTCTTAATCATTTGGTAGGCAATTAATGAGGTGAGCAAACAAGATCAAGCAAGAAGAGCAGTTCATAAATGTAAAGAAAGAAGAATAAAAGATACTTCTTTAGATATACGTAAGGAGGTAGAGGGCAATGATCTTGGGCCTTACATTATAGAAGGGTAGTGTTGGAGTTGGTGGGCTATGGCTTCATGCTTTATTTAGTAATAAGAGAGATATATATTGCAAATATACATCTTGCAGCTTAAACAATAATTGGATTGGGTCCAAAGTGAAGCCCCCTACCCATTTTATCAGTAATAAATTCTAGATATTGTTGCTGCAAAAAACATTTATTTCTCAAGTAACGCATAAGAAGAGGTACCTCACCTTGAGTCATCTGCTGAAGTTCTTAATTGAATATCTGGAAAATGTCCATCCAGTTCGTTACACTTGTTAGGAAATGATTGCAAAGGACTGATTGGACCCTTCTTATGTGTTACTTGTTAGGAAAATATCCATCCAGTTCATTACACTTGTTAGGAAATTGAAATCGGATTCCTTATTTTTATGTGTAGTTTGTTGCACAAAAAACTTTTATTTTATGTAACGTATAAGGGGTAGCATGCATTGAGACTTCTGCTGCTGTTCATTAGAAGGGGAAGGGGATAGGGATTGTCCAAGCATTGAACCCGGTACTGGTGTCAATTGATGACTTGATAACAATTGTTTTTCCACTTTTCTTGTGGTCCAGTCAACATAAAACTCTTAATGCAGGTAGCTTGTTGCGGGAAAGAACATTTACTGTTTTTAGTAACGCATAAGAGGGGGTGTCATGCATCAAGGCATCTGCTGAAGTTCTTAATTAGGTAGTTAACAATTGCCCATCCAGTTTGTTGCACTTGTTAGGCAATGACTGCAAAGAACAGATTCTCTCTTTCAACCGTTTCTTTTGGGCACTATAAAACGCTGATATTTGGTGTCAAGAATTGCATTGGGTTTGTTGTTTATATGCATGTAGTTTCTTCTATTCCATACTCGGAGTCTCTAATTGGCTTTTTTTCTAATCTGGTAAGTCACTAGAATTGGTATGGTAGGATTTCTTTGAGTCAATTATTAGACAGAAATCGGTGAGTGATTTAATATGTTTATTGTTTAGATGTCATTGATGTTTTTCATTTTACAATATGTATTCATTATAATCTAACCATTTTCCTTTTCTGTTTATTTTCATGAATAAGTTGATTATATTCCTTAACTTCGGTTAATTATAGAATCAAAGAAACAATTTTACCAAGTTTTTCAAACAATCATGCTTGGAGGAGGTATTAACAGTGAGATGGGTATCTAAGTTTCTAGAGGGAGTAAAACAAATGGGGAGACAATAGTCCCTTTCTTCCCTTCCCTCCCCTCCCTTTCATTTTTTTTTTCATATTCTGTTGCTATTAACTAATACTGGATGATCATTTTTACTTCTGTTATTCAATTCATCTTGTATTCTGTTTCTTTAATGCCAATTAATGGAGCTACTTTACTTTCATGGAGAATTTAGTTTCTGAATTGTTTTTCTTCCCCCCTCCCCCCGGGATTTGAGTTCGTCAATTTAGTTTTCACAGTGGTGCCTTGGTATTTCTTGCAGATTTGCATTAGATCTGAGCATAACTCGTTATGCGAAGATAGCCATGAACTTGCAAAATAAGACTGTACGGGATGTGGCTTTGCGTTGCAGATGGATGAATGTAAGCTTTTTTCTCTTTTTAAACCCATCAGTATTTTTTGCCAGAACTGTAGAATGTAGACTCATATATATATAACCACATACGAAGCATATTTCGCATTAGCATGCAGCTTCAATGATACTGGCTGCAATCATTTTACTCAATTCATATATATTTTGATGGTTTCATCTTAAATCTACTTTAGAATATGAAGCATTTATGATTGGTCAAGAGGATATTTGCTCTGCTTTTACAGAGTAAAATGTTGTTTATGCATGTATTTGTGTATTGCAAGAGCACGATTTGATTTATGCTTCACGCAGAAGAAGGAAACTAGCAAGAGAAGGAAGGAAGAGCACAGTTATGCCAGGAAAAGTAAAGACAAAAAGGTATGATTTACTTTTTTTTTTCTTTGTGTGTTAAGTTGCACTAATTTGTGTTCTGATTGCTCCTAAGAGCCTTCTTAGTTACTTCTTAGACTTCATAAAATTAGACATAAACTAAAAGTAAATTATCTCTCTGTGAAACTGACCTGCAGAAGTTCTCTGTTTATCCATTTAACTCCTCTTGCAACCATGCACATCTGAAGACATGTGAGGTGGTCAAAGGAAACTCCTTGAACTCAAGAGAGTTATTGAGTAATAGTTTACTTTTTCTTAGTAGAGATGTTGGATGGGGATTGAATTTCTTCCTTCTGCTAAGCAGCTATTCCTTTGGTGGAATTTTGCTCAGTTACCTTAGGTTCATACTTCATAGGTATTGCTTATCCTTGATAACTTGTTATGGGTGCATTATTATCCGCAGTCATCCACATCTCTTCAGATGTGCCTCTTTGGTACGGTCATTTGTCTGATGATAAGTTCACCACTTTGGCTGATATTTAGACTTAATCAGAAAATTTTCTTTCAAAGTTTCCAGTTCATGATAATAATTTGTTGATATGATGAGAAATAAGGCAATATTTTTATATTAGGATCATATTTTGGGCCAATAGATACTTGACAATAACTTTTGTTTTTCTTTCAGGAAAGAGTTGTTGATCCTTCAGCAAAGTCTACACATTTTGCTGGTCAATCTAGTATTTCCCAATATCCAACCCCAATGATTTCTGTGGACTATAATGATGGCATTCCACTCGGAGGTCGGATTTTATCTTTGACAATTTTTAAGTTGCTCGTAATAGCTAAGTCTTTGTTGATTCTTACTAACAAGTTTTATACTTTATTAAAATACACCTATCAGCATGCAATTTTAATTAAATTTATCAGTTGGTTACTTTTCATCAAGATATATTTAGTATTATCTTAAAAGAAGTTTTATATACATAGTCTTGAAGTAGGGATCGAGTTTTAGTGTTTCATATTTCGTTGCTCTAATAGTTGCACTGAATATTTGGTGCTTTCTCTATATTTTTGTTTGGGATTTATTTGATCCCTGCCGGGCACATAGTTGTTCTGACCTCTTTTCTCTTTTACTTGAAAAGAAAGTTACAAGTTTTAAGGGTTTCAAACAGGTGAAGCATATTTTCTTTCCTTCTTTTACTGAGCGTTGCTTTCTTTGACATGACTTTGTTGATGCCTGTATTATGTCTTGTCGTCAACTTACTAAACTAAACAATTCTAGATAAGGAAAGAAAGGGAAAAAAGTGAAAGAGAAGATTTTTGCCAAATGCAAGCAACATAAAAAGTTGCCTGCAATTATTTATCAAATGCCTTTCTGTTCTTGATTATTGGTTTTGCAAATGACGAAGTTTGAATTTAGTATTTTGGTTGCCGAAGTTTTTTAAGCATGAAAACCCCTTTTTCTGTTCTGTTATTGTTGGAAATTTAATCTAAAAACTTCATTAATGTCGTTTGACAGCCATCGGCGGGGTGGCAGGAGAACTTCTGGAGCAGAACGCTCAAGCCTTGAATCAAATATCTGAAAATCTTGCGTCTTTTAAGGTAAGTGGTCATGCTATGAGTAGATCAAATTTACTATGTTAATCCCACTCTTCATTTTTCTTGAAGTACTTGTGTTTACACCAATGTCCGATGCATATTCAGACGTGAATTTGGGTTTGGGACCTCCTAAAGATCTGTTAGATACATACAAAAACTGAGAAAATTTTGAACATACCCAAGTCCAAGTAGTATAGCTTCAGTTTTCTGTCTATTAGTATAAAAAATATTCGAAGTCTCTCGTCTTCTAATATCTGTCATTACCAGGATGGAAATGTTTTAAGTTAGTATATATTACGAGCATAGTTGCAATATGGAAAACGTAAAAGCGAATAGAGTTTCTGTGTGTTGGTGTGGATGAACCCAAATTTCCGTGTTGTTCAGCCTTGTCGGGTCTCTAATGGAACTTGTCTCCTTTACTCATTTCCAGATACAGGAAAATATCGGCCTCCTCTACCAAACTCGGGACAACCTTCTCAAGCTCATGAATGAGTAAGTTCCGGTTTTCATTAAACATCCCTTTCTATATTGATTGAAATCTTAATTCGTTTGTCATAAATGAAGGATTGAGTTCTTTACAACTACCCTTGTTCATCATTGTGCTCGATGTGCATCCGAACACCGGTATCGGGAGGGTCCTTACATGCTTCTATTGATTTCCATTTGCAGGATGAATGATGTGCCAGATATAATGAAGCAGATGCCGCAACTACCTGTGAAACTGAATCTTGATCTTGCCAACACCATCCTTCCTCCTCCGCCCCCTTCCATGTAGCCGTGATCCTCCTTCCATCCCATCAAACTCATCTATTTAGTTTCCCCTTTAATACAGTGCGTCGTGCGGCTCTGCTGAACGGGAAAATAACTACCCGTCGATGGGATCGTCGCTTTTAAGAAATTTGGAAGGCTGTGTTATGTTTTTATTTTGCTTCTGAACCCTCAGTAGTTTGTTTCTTGGTTTCATGCGGTAGGTGACTTACCTAAGGATTGTATAGGGGTGGTTTGTGCATAAAGCAAGACTTGAAATATAAATTTTAATTCTTTGCTTAGTTTTTAGATCTCTCCATTACCTCTGTTGGTTTATATATTCTAAAGCCAAAACCAAACTAAATGAAATTGGAATTGTTATTTAAATATAATATGACTGAAAGATAAAGTTGTTAAAAATGTAAAATAAAACTAAAACAAAATCAGAAAATATTCAATAAAATATAAAAGAATTAACAATATAAAAATTAAAATTTTAAAGAAAAAATTGAACAACTAAACAAATCTTTACTATTACCATGAATTTTCAATAGAACAAAATTCTTGCATTAGAGCAGTTACGTTTTATGAGATTTCTTAGATGGTTGAGTTATGAGATCAAACCGGGGAAAATTCTTGGGGTAAGGCATTGAGGGAAATTTTGTTCCCGGCATCATCATATTATTCTTTTCGAATAGGGTATTGACGTTGGAAGACGTCGGAAATAGTTGCCGTCTTCAAGAAAATGGTTGAAGTACACGGTGTCTTCAAGCTCCGGTCGAACCACAATGGCTAGCCTCTCACTTCGCAGCAGTCCTTTTCCCTCTCTTCTGCAACCCCTCTCTGTCTTCCTTTTCGCTGCAGTCTTCAAGTTTAAAGTAATGCCGGAGATAAAGAGTCTACTTCAATTTTCTTTTTAATATCTCACATCAACCCTTTCCCTCCTCAAAAAAAAAAAATAAATAAATAAATAAACTCAGTGACAAAAAATATCTTATAATATACGATTTTAATTAATTTTTTTTGGATTTGCCAAAATGACCAACTAAATCGCAATGCGATCGATAATTCGCAACGCGATCTCCGGTATCGCAAATCAGTTTCCAGATTTGCAACGCGATTCTGACTATCGCATTGCGATTTCCCAAATTCGCGTTGTGATTATCCTAATTCGCAATGCGAATTTGTAAATCGCAATACGAATACGTAATCGCAATTGCGAATTATGAAAATCGCAACGCGAATACGTAAATCGCAATGCGAATTAAGAAAATCGCAATGCGAATCTGACTATCGCAATGCGATTTACATAGCGTCATTCGTATTAACACGTATTTTTTTTTCAAATTCCAAACACGAATTTCTTAATATATCGGAAACTGAACCGTACACAGTAATCGCAACTCATAACCTCAAACCTAAAATCACAACACTCAGTCCCATCTCCATCTCTCACTCTCTACGGCGAAATCCGTCCCCATCTCCGAAGATTTCCGTCCTCATCGCCGGCGAAATCCCTCACAACCATTCACGGTCAGAAATCCCTCACAATCATTCATAAATGGAAAATCAACCTCCGAGTGTTAGTTTTTTTAATTATTTTTATTTTGAAATTTTTGCATTATTTTAGGTTTTTCATATTGAAATTGATGATAAGTTTACTGGTAATTTCAATAATAGATTAACCATTTCACTTAGATTTCTTATTAAATTCATTCGATTGCTGCCAATACTGCTAAACTGTTTAGTCTTTAACCCTGTGAAGTTAGTATTTGTCTTTGTTTTGTCTTTTGGTTGAAGTAATGCAGAAGAAGAATAGTTTCGAGAATGAAAATCGCAACGCGGAAATGACTATCGCAACGAGAGAATCGCAACGCGAAATGAAAATCGCAACGCAAAACCAAAATCGCATTGCGATTTTCATTTCGCGTTGCGATTCTCTCGTTGCGATTGTCATTTCGCGTTGCGATTCTCTCGTTGCGATAGTCATTTCCGCGTTGCGATTTTCATTCTCTCGTTGCGATTTTCATTTCAACCAAAAGACAAAACAGTGTTGCAAATTTTAGTTTCAAGAATAAACTACTATTTATGTTTATTGTTTTTGGTATATCTTCACAGTGTAGTTTTTGGTATATCTAACTTGGTATGTTTATTGTTTTTGTAGACATTTTTTTCGGCTTCATTGACATTAAGGAATAAAGTTAGCCTAGCCACTACAATTGCTTCGAAGCTTTCACCTGCACAAAGAAAATTGTTTGAGGAAACCTGCTTCGGGCCATGGCTGAGAGTACAGCATCCGGGTGGAGATGATAATTTGACCCATTTGTGGCTTCAGACCATGACTAGCGATCTACCCGACAGTATACAACGTGGTGAGGAAGAGATATGGTTTCATTTTCCACCGACGTATACTTGTTTTGGGCGGAAGGAGTTCTGCTTAATCACTGGTCTACGATTCGGACACGATGATGTAGGCCGGTACACTCGTCATATCACCCGCCCATCATGGTTATCCAGGGTTTTTCCTGATGAGTCAATAGAGAAGCCGAACTTACACGTCGACGACCTGAAGAAATTGTTTAATAAGAAAGATGGTTTTACTCGGATGAATGACGTCGATGTTGTCCGAGTATGCCTTCTACTACTTTTGTATGCCGGCTTTTTAGGCAGAGATGCCAGACAACCTATTCCTCAGGAGCTAATATTATTGGTAGAGGACCTAAATGCATGGAATCTATTTCCGTGGGGTTCGTATATATGGAAAGCTACCTGGACTAAGTTGTCGTCTGCCTTTGATGACCGCAAAAGTTTGCTTGGCGATGGGTCGAAATACACTTTGTCAGGCTTTGTTTGGGCCTTTAAGGTAAGAATTTCTATATAATGTTTTCAAAATTATAATTAATTATTTAACAATTACTAATGTTTGTTATTATATTGTTTGTAGATTTGGATATTCGAGGCTTTCCCCAGCATGCAGACATATGCATTAAAAACTTCAAATGATATTCCTAGGGCTATTTCCTGGAAGAGGAAACGTCTGTTGGATTGGGAAGACTTAATACCATATGCGACAATAAATAATGTAAGTTAACACAAATATTATCATATATAAACAAGTTATTAATAGTAGACGTTTAACTTTGTTTGAGTTTTTATATTTTTAGGAGGCCAACACTCCATTAATGAGACTGACACCCACGGGGGCTGAGCTTGCCACTGATTGGTGGCAAGCAAGTCAGCGTTTTCTTGATGGCACGAATGATGAGCAGCCTCCACTTCCTCCACTTCGAGAGCCATCACCTCACCCAGAGCCATCACCTGATTGACCCGACTATACACCTCTACAACGAGAGTCATCACCTATCCCGTCACATCATCGAGCCTCTTCTCCACCATCACCTCATGATAGGCGACCGGCAAAGATGCCACGACTTCTAGCTCCCTGTTCTCTACCTCCACGGGATGAGTCAAGGGAGTTACGTGATGAGGTCAATGCCTTGCGTGAGGAGATCGGTACTCTACGCGATAACGATGGTGCATGGCGTGTGGAGGTGTCTACTTTACGTGGTGAGGTTGCCGCTCTACGTGAGATGGTAGTATCGTTGCAGAATGAGGTTCATACTCTACGCAACGAGGTAAGTTTAAGATTTTCCATATTTAACTTGATGATAAATTTACTCGTAATTTCATTTAGATTAACCATTTCACTTAAATTGCTTAGTAAATTTATTCGGTTGCTGCCAATACTGCTAAACTGTTTATTAACACTGTGAAGTTAGTATTTGTCTTTTGTTTTGTCTTTTGGTTGAAGTAAATTTATTCGGTTGCTGCCAATTCTGCTAAACTGTGTATTCTTTAACACTGTGAAGTTAGTATTTGTCTTTGTTTTGTCTTTTGGTTGAAAGTAAATTTGTTCGGTTGCTGCCAATTCTGCTAAACTGTGTATTCTTTAACACTGTGAAGTTAGTATTTGTCTTTGTTTTGTCTTTTGGTTGAAAGTAAATTTGTTCGTTTGCTGCCAATTCTGCTAAACTGTGTATTCTTTAATACTCTGAAGTTAGTATTTGTCTTTGTTTTGTCTTTTAGTTGAAGTAATGCAATCCATTCAAGTTTTAATTTGCATAAGAAGAAGAAATAGTTTATTCTTGAAACTATATTTTAGTAACACTGTTTTGTCTTTTGGTTGAAATGAAAATCGCAACGCGAAACGAAAATCGCAACGAGAGAATCGTAACACGAAATGAAAATCGCAACGACAAAATCGCAACGCGAAACCAAAAATCGCAACGCGAAACTATAATCTCGTTGCGATTTTAATTTCGCATTGCGATTCTCTCGTTTCGATTTTCGTTTCGCGTTGCGATAGTCATTTTTCACGTTGCGATTTTAAGTTCCAGAAACTATTATTCTTCTGCAAATTGAAACTTGAATGAATTGCATTACTTCAACCAATAGACAAAGACAAATACTAAGTTGACAGTGTTGCAAGTTTGAAACATATTTGCCTTTGTTATCTGATGCATTTTGTGAACTATGATAGAATAATGACTTGGGTGAATTCAATGCAAGTTTGAAACATATTTGTCTTTATTTTCACTATTTAAATATCATGTCTGTTTATTTATTGATTTTTGTATTTAATTATTTAGCGGCCCGATAAGGTGGATGCTTTACGTCGGGTTTTTCTTGCACGACAGAGTTCACGCATCAGACGGCGTGCACGTGCTATTAAGTCTCTATACACCCCAATAGTGCGAAGACACCGCAAGAAGAAGCCCGACTCGCCTGTCATCCCTCAAAAGTCCACTCCTATCGTTGAAGAGGCCCCTATCATTCCTCGAGAGTCCTCTCCCACTGTTCAAGAGGCCACTGTCATCGTTGAAGAGGTCCCTCCCACCATTCAAGAGCCCGATTCACATGGCGTCATATGTAAGATTCTTGAGAAACCCTCTGACGTGCCGGACATGATGGATTCAAGTTGACTCTCGTATGAGTTACTGGCCAGTACCATACCGGTATCTGAAGTGGAGAGGAGACAACTACCGGACACAATTCTGGATAACACCCTTTGGGCTAAGACCGCAGTTGATTTTTATCTACATGAGCGGAGCCAGGGGTGTTTCACTGACATATGTAAGCTCAACGATGATATCTATTTGTTGCTTGATCGGTCTTGGTGGGGCGTATTATTAGGGGTCGAAGACAATGGCTATTTCGATAGAGGGGTAAGTCTTATATTTTTCTTATATTTCAA